CTAGATCAGTCTACCCCAGTGAGCGAAATAAAGGTTTCAGTTCGACATTCCAACCAGCTGAAGAAGGCCGGAGCGTACAACGGCCGAAACGTTGTAATAAATATGGCGACAAAAATGAGAACAATAGTCCGAATAATGTAAATAGTGAAATATTTTCCGCTGACAAACTCTGATTATTTTTTGTGTATAACTATTCCCTTGCTATTTAAAACAAAGATTTTCTGTGATTTCTCTATGGAGAGTTCCAACTCTCTATGCCCAATCAACTGGAGAACTTCATAACGGATTCTTATCCGGGGATCCAAAACTAATCCTCGTAAAGTCAGGAGATGTATAATGATAGAAATGCCATCAACTGTTTCAAATCTATCATAAAAAATTATATTGTGGAACTGATAAATTCTAAACACATCAGATACATCGGTGACCGACCAGTTAATACAAATTTAATCATTTGAGACCTGACCACCGCTTTACCGGTGGTAGAGAAAAATGCCCAGCCACCGGTTGAACAGTGATAGACAAAAATGACTTAATGCCAAGCCACCGGTTGAACGGTCGTGTTTTATTTTATTTATTTATTATTTTTTTTTTTTTGCGTCGTGTTTTTTTTATTCGTTTTCTTATTTTGAAGAGCCAATCAGTGAAGTCGTAATATTCTGATGTCATCAAACGTTATACTAATATGTCCGCATCATTTCATTGTATTTTGTGCATGTGTTTTAGATAATAAAAAAAAAAAATCTTTTTTTTTTTTTACTATAAAGCGTGCAGAATCTCAAACTAGACCGTCAGGGAAGCAATCAGAATATTATAGTTTTTTGTAACTACAAGGTAACCAAAAAAGTTCCGTCCGTTTTTTGATTAGTCTTTGAATGAAGTTGTAGAAATGCGTGTAGCAATTGTTTTTAAATTCGGACAGCCGGAAGTAGGAACATCAGACGTTATAAAAAAACACTTGCACCGTGCCCGGCCATCAGTTATAAGCCGGACAACTGTGAGAAGGATAGAAGTGTCTAGAGATCTCGTTCGAGGCTGTTTGCTTTACCACTTCAAAGTGGACTTATCAGCAGCTGCATCAAGTCGCCGCATATGTCAAGCGTTTGGGGATAGTGCTGTGGATGAACGTACTGCAAGGCGTTGGTTTCGAACATTCAAGTCGGGAGATTTGTCTCTCCATGAAGAACCTCGCAGTGGACGACCACATGTCTTGAATGACGGAGTCCTGAAGGCGGGTATTGAAGAGGACAGTAGTCTAACGTGCGGTGAACTTGCAAGACAGTTCAACGTTTCCGATGAAACAGACTTCACCTGCACCGCCAAGGTAAGACGTGGGTTCCGCAAACGCTGTTGGAAGTCCACAAGGGACAACGAGTGGCTGCCTGCGTATCGCTGCTTTCTTGCCACCGTACCGCATCCTTATTCAGTCGAGTGCTTACCAGTGATGAAAAGTAGGTTCTGTACGAAACTCCCAAGCGTCCCAGACATTGGTTGTCTCCACGGGATGCTGTCCCTCACACCGCAAGAACGCCTATGCATCCACACAAGATTATGCTTTGTATCTGGTGGACAGGTCGTCAAGTGGTTCATTATGAATTGCTACCAACGGGCCAAACGGTCACTGGAGACCTATACTCGCAGCAATTGAAACGTGCGCGACAGGCATTGCGCCAGAAAGAGCCAGCACTGGTGAATCGCAAAGGTGTGCTTTTCCTCCATGACAACGCCAGGCCGCATGTCAAGCAAGTGGTCAGGGATACCATACAGCAACTTAGGTGGGAGACTTTGTGCAATCCACCTTATTCACCTGACCTTGCGCCATCCGATTACCACCTCTTCCACTTCCTGGATAATCATCTTCGTGGAAAATCCTTCACAAATGAAGCAGATTTGCGCAAAGCCCTCACGGACTTCTTTGCGTCAAACCCCTCCGAGTTCTACCGCAAGGACACTAAACAGCTGGAGACACGTTGGCAGAAGGTGCTGGATGCCGATGGCGATTACTTCGAAGACTAAATATAATTTACAAATACTGTGAAGCGTTTTCTTTTTTTCCTTTAAAAACGGACGTAACTTTTTTGGTTACCTTGTATTTTTATATCTACTGTTAAACATTGCATACTTATTATTTGCGAATTTTGTCTCAGGAGCTCAGGCAGAAGGGCAAATCTTGTTCAGGAACGTAGGGCTCAAAGAGTTAACATTGTAGATAAGGATATTGAACATAAAATAGGTTACGCTTGAGATATATTTTTCCAGTGCAGGAAATTGTCACAAAACCAAAAGACTGACACGACAATTATAGGTATTTTCGTAAATAGATCTTATTCAGATCGAACCTCTCATGCGAAAGTCATGCGTTCCGCATATCATCTCTAGAAATCTTTAGGCTGTTATCTTTCATTTATTTCAATTATTTCACTCCGCTATTCTTCGAGTTACCACTAAACATCTATTGTCTATCAACCATTGCTCCTCCATGGTCAGCGTATTTAAATTGGTGTAAAAAAAACCAATAAACACATTCTGAAAAAAAAAATAACTGTGTACCATTTCATTTTTTTTATTCTTTATTATTCTTTGAATTAATTCATTGATATGTTTTTCTAAACTCTTATCAATTACTTATCGGCTTTCGTGCTGAAGCGCAAAGAAAGACGAATACAAAAGATCTATATTGAAGATTTCATAGTTTTGCTGTGTTTTGTGTTTGGATTTTTTTCTCAAGTTCAGCTAAATTGATGTATTATATGAAACCATACGAACTTATTCCAATACTCTACAAGCAATATGTAGAGCTTATTTAGACGTATCTGTATATAATGTGTATGGCCGTTGTACCAGACAAAGTAAAAAGCAGAATTATACTGAGTAATTCTGCTAAGTCCATCCTAACGGTTTTCATCATCGTACGTTTTATGATGCATCGCCTCGCAGTATCATTTATTTGATTCACATACGTTCTGCTTACAAACTCGAAGGATTCTGAGGCATATTCTGAGGAAGGAGTGCTTAGATAATCTGATACTCAGGGGTCGAATAGAGGGAAAGAGAGACAAGGGAATACAAAGAATGACATACCTGGCGGACTTAAGCAAGTAGATGACAGAACCTGGTCTGTGGGAGGAAGCAGAGGGAAGGAACTTGTTGAGAGCTGCAAAGGATAGAAGGAAGTGGAGAGCCATGATCGCCTACGTCCTGAAAGAACATGGCACATAAAAAGAAAAATTTCCACTCCTCTTTCGTTTTTCAAATAAAGAGCTTCCCTGATTTTCGTGTCATTTTATAAGAGTTGATAAGTTCTAAAAATGAAGCGTAATAGTGGAGAGCCATGACCATCAACGTCCTGAAGAAAAACGTTACATAGAGGAAAACTCCCTGAAAGTCGCCATGTTCAAGCAATTTATTATAAGCTACGTTTTTTTATGTATTAAATATCTGTTAATCATTTCAGCCCAAGCAAGGTATTAAAGCCCCTAAGATGCAATGTGTTGTTGAGTGTGAAAGAATATGAGAAACAGAACACATTAATAAGAGAGAATAATAAAAGAACAGGAATGAAGAAAACAAAAGATAACGATTGAGATTGTAATTTAAATTTTTGAAGGTCAATGTTGACTGAAAATCAAGCAGTTGGAAAACAGTTCCACAAGCGAGAAGTGCGAGAGAAAAAACCTGTTGCATAGAATTTACAGTTACATCTAGATTGTTCGGCTTTAATATGACGCGACATTGCTGTCAATGTAGTACTACGCCTAAGTTCGTACTAAAAGCTTAAATTCGTCCTAAAAGCTTAAATTCGTACTATATAAACCAAATGAAATCATGAAAATACAATGAAGTTATTTTCAGAAATATCACAGCGGTTGGAAAGTGACTGAAGTCGAGAGGCCAGGACAGAATTCTTTGGATTTTACCAAAAATTTCTAAATTCATAGCATAACCACCTCACCAGATATAGCAGTAATAGTCAATACATGGATGAATCGTAGACTTATAATTGTGTAAGATTCTAAGAATAAAAATGTTCTTGCACAACGCAGTGATTTGGTTTGGTTTGTTTTACGACATATCAACCTCAATGAGTTATTTACTGCCGACAAGATTTTTTATTGATGGTAATATTTTTTTCCAAAAATATATTACTGCTAATAATGTATTCCTGGCAATATTTTTTTCTTCATAATTCATAGCTAATATTTTCACAAAAATGTATTGCTAGTATCAAAATCAATTTTTTAACTTTCATGGACCTTAGTTTGGGGCTTACTATTTCCCCACAGCTGGGACCCTAACGCGCTCGCACAAGGTGTTTAGGTCATATTATATGAACACTTATATCAGGAACTACAAATGATAGCATATTTGAACTGGTGCCATTTAAAAGCTAAAAATGTCAAGTTTTCTTCCGTTAATTTAATTTTACTTAATTAAATTTAATTTTTCAACCACATTCTGCCTGACAGATGGATCGGAAGTTCAGGACAGATTGGTCACGTTTTCCTGCGATGACCACCTAGGAGTCTAAACCCAATGCCATGTGCCTTCTTCCTACGGTGGTATGTGAAAGGCCTCATGTACTTACCTCATCCCTATCCCAGAGACGTGGATGATCTGAAGACGCGAATAACTGAAGCCTTGCCAACCCTCAACGACGCTATGCTTGGTCGCGTTTGGCAAGAATTGAATTATCGTTTGGGTGTGTGTCGAGTAACCCGGGCCGCACACACTGCAGAGATGTAAAAACCTGTATAGAAACGTGGAAATATTAGCTTTCAGAAAATATGTATTGTATTTTGATATCTTCAATAGTTATTAACAGTGTCTTAAAGTGACAAAGACATTTGAAACACTCTATAGAATTAATATAAGTAAAAGTTTGTCACACAACTGATTGATGTTGCCTTCAGCATCCCGACTCCAGAGTTTCGTAAGCAGACCTGTCCGTCTACTCTTCAGAGGATAGCAATTTACTGCTTATATTTTTTGATTTTTTATACAGAGAGAGAGAGAGAGAGAGAGAGAGAGAGAGAGAGAGAGAGAGAGGCAGACATTGAGATAGGGGAGAGAGAAAGAAAGGATGAGAATGTACATATATTCACCATCCAAACAATGATTTCTAGTTAACATGTTTGACCATCAATCAAAATCGGGTTCAATTCAGATATTTATGATCTACTGATATCCAGGAAGACGTAATGGATAGCGGCTCGGACTGATGATTCGGAGTGCCGAGTTCGAATTCCAGTCGAATTTATTGCATTCATTAACGTGCTAATACCCTTGGGAAAGGTCCATACCTTTCCCAAGGGTTCTGTTCCCCCACGGGTAAATAGTAAATTCTAGAGACTTGGATGGGTAACTGGCCTACCACAGAAAGAATTGTCAACCTACTGCGGAAAAGAAACCTGCCTCGTAAGTTATGTATCGAACGATACATGATCGCCTAAGCGTGTATCACGCATGGAACATAACTGACTGAAATTCAGATACGTGCTAATACCCTTGGGAAAGGTAGGAATCCTCTTCTTCACCGCCCCCAGCTATGGGTAAATAGAAGACAGACAGTATTCTAGAACCTTGGATGGCAACTGGTCTACCGTAGAAAAAAATGTCAATCTACTTCGGGAAAAAAATCTGCCTCGTCAGTCATGTATCGAACGATACATGCTCGCCTACGCGTGTATGACGCATGACACATAACTGACTGAAATTCAATTACGTGCTAATACCCTCGGGAAAGGTATGAATCCTCTTCTTTTACTCCCAGCTATGGGTAAATAGCAGGACAGACCGGGTTCTAGAACCTTGGATGGCAGCTGGTCTACCGTAGAAAGTAATGGCAACCTATTGCGTGAAATAAATCTGCCTCGTCAGTCATGTATCGAACGATACATGATCGGCTATGCGTGTATCACGCATGGCAATTAATTGACTAACTGATATCCAAGTGGTAGCGAGTGCAAGTTGTTAGAATGTTAACATTCTTAATATAATAATTGGGTTCGAATTTCACCAGGTGTGATTCTTCAAGAAAGTGACTTTTTTATTATACCAGACTTGCGTAGACGGTGGCCATTTTCGTCAGCGTTGGGAAGGGCTTTGAAAATAATACCACACATTGTGGGTGAAACTTATTTGATGAAACTGTTTGGAAGTCAACTGTAGTTATGCGAGCAAGAAATCACACGTCATAGTAACAGATGTTCTAATTGTGTTTTTTTATTTTATTAAAATACACTTTTAAATGCCATATCTAGATGCGTCGTCAGTGTTGTTGCTCCCATGTCACTAGAAGTTTCAGGTCTAAATAAACAACAGACTTCTTCGATGGGCGACCCGACCGAATATGATCAGTATTCGGCCCGCACCTAGAACGAAATCTGCCACTAGCTTTAGGACGTGAATTATATAAGTTGCCCCAGTAGACAACAACCAATGAAGACTTCACTTGGCCTATTCGAAGTTATAGATTAGGTATGCATGGTTGTATTGATCTTCCTACATGCGGCCAAGAATGGGTGTTTTTTTGGAAGAATAGTAGAAAACCTCCCCTTTTAACTTCTATAAAATAACTTATTTGTTTGGTCTTTTTCTTTTTCATTTTTATTCTTATTTTCTTTTCTTTTCTAAACTACACTTAATAAAATTTACAATGGAGTGATTAAAATGACAGACTATCTACAACTTTAAAAACTAAGAGAAAAATATTTAACAAAAATCGCTTAAAAATAAATTAATCAAACTATTTACATGTTAAAAACTAGTTAAAAAAAATACCTGTAAATTTTAGATAAAATATGTTACCCCCCCAAAAAAAAAATCCTTACCGGAAGGAATTCGTTTAAAAACTAAGAGAAATAACATAACTAAAATTCTTCAAAATAAATGATCAAGATATTTACATATCGAATAATAGTTAAAAGAAAAATAACTTGTAAATTGTACTAGGATTGTTCCTTTGTTGATCAGATCAGAATGTACCTGTATCCTAGGAACTCTAATGACTAATCAGCTTAGTTTCAGTATTAAAGAAAATGTGGCTCTATGGGTGTTAACAAAATGCAAATATAGCAAACCAGTCATTTGCAACATGGATTAGATAATCACCATATTGGATTCAACACTTTCCAGTAAATGATAGATGCCTACAAAGTTTGGCAGCTAATTCATTCTATCAGCGGCATTTAATACATATGGACGGTAAGTGCGACACTGAGATCCGTAGACGTATTGTGATGGCCAAGGACGCATTCCAAAAACTGGGCAAAGTACTGAGAGCCAGGAGAATTTCTTTGGTAACAAAGAAAAGGATACTGAGCTGTTGCGTGACATCTGTCGGTTTTTACGGTAGCGAATGCTGGACGATTTCCTCAAGGATGAAGAAGAGACTCGAGGCGACGGAGATGTGGTTTTACAGAAGGATGCTGAGGATTTCGTGGACGGAGCGTGTGAGCAAGGATGTTGTCTTAGAGAGAATGTCGACAAGGAGGAGGCTTATACTTAGCATCAGGAAGAGGTAACTGAAGTTTCTGTCACACATAATGAGGAAAGTGGGTCATGAAAATCTGAGACTCACGGATCGAATAGAAGGGAAATAAAGACAAGGGAAAGCAGCGCGTGACATTGTAGGCGGGCTTGAGCAGGTAGATGACAGAACGTTGTCCAGGTCGGGGGATAGCAGAGGGGAAAGAAACTTGTTGAGAGCTGCAAGGGATACAGGGACGTGGAGAGCCATGATCGCCTACGTTCTGAAAAGACATGGCACATAAAAAGAATGTGAAACTTTGAAAGATATTAAACGGAACGCCTAAACTAGTAAATGTGAAAACACACCCCCCTGAGGGATTCCGAAGTCACCCAATTCGGCAATAACGGGTGTCTTTGATTGCCACGGTAAATAGGAAAACTTAATATATGTAAACCCTATAAGGTTTCATTATTGGTGGTATAGTCTTTTCGATTTCCAGTCGAATCCATCACATTCACTTACGTCCTAATGCCATTGGGAAAGGTATGAATCCTATTCTTTTCCCCACATCTATAGGTAAATACCAAGACAAACAGGGTTCTATAGCCTTGAATGGCAACTGGTCTGCCGCAGAAAGAAATGGCAACCTACTGCGGGAAAAAATCTGCCTTTTAATCATGTATCGTGTATCACGCATGGCACATAAATGACTGAAATTCACTTACGTGCTAATATCCTTGGGAAAGGTATGAATCCTATTCTTCTCTCCCCCCAGCTATGGATAAATATCAGGACAGACCGGGTTCTATAGCCTTGGATGGCAACTGCTCTACAGCAAAAAGGAATAGCAACCTACTGCGGAAAACATCTCCCACGTTATTTATGTATTGAAAGATACATGATTGCTTAAGCGTGTATCACGCGTGGCACATCACTGACTGAAATTCACCTACGTGCTAATACCCTTGGGAAAGTTATGAATCCTCTTCTTCTTCCCTACCCCCAGCTATGGGTAAATATCAGGACAGACCGGGTTCTATAGCCTTGGATGGCAACCGGGCTACCGCAGAAAGAAATGGCAACCTGCTGTGGGAAAAATATCTGCCTCGTCAGTCATTTATCGAAAGATACATGATCGCTTAAGCGTGTATCACGCATAGCACGTAACTGACTGCCACAGTGTCTTAATAAACCTATTAGCAGCATCCCGGACGGTATAAAAACAGGCAAAACCTGATGTATGTCTTTCTTTTCTTGTTTTTCCTCCTTGAAGAGTGAGCTTTTCACACCGAAGCAAGAAGAGCTGTGGACATTACACACTAAAACACACCTACACAGAGAAGTCCCACCCAAATATTTTAACAATTTTCTTTGTGTATTCCATTTATTTCTAGGTAAAAACAATCCGAAATTTTGCTTCGACTATTTTTATCCAATAAATGCTATCTTTTATCCCAGATCAATCGGCCTCTTTTATTTAGTATACACCCTTCTGCAAATTAATTTAAACAACCGCTTTAGTTTCATTTCTTTCAACATACTGTCAGTTTTAGAGCAGCTAGAGTAACAGAGTGTAATTGATTTCAGATTAGGTCATTTGCTGTGGTGTGCAGTAATATGAATCCATAGTCGGTGTGTATGATGAAATTGGTTTGGTCTTGAAAAATATTGCGTCACCCGTGATGGCATCAGATTTTCATATCGCCCAGACACTATTGTCTCGAGTGTCAATTATTTGTCCCACGGCCATTGTCTGCGATAGTTGTTACTACAATGAATCGTAGGAAAATTGTAACTCTGCAAAAACACAATGGCAAGCCTTACCAGTAAGCAAATCAAAGTACTATCGACTGACTCGGAACTCTCCTGATTTAAATCCAATCGAGAATCTGTGGTCAATCTGCGAGGGAAGACATCCTGGATTGGATATAAGAAACGCTAACATGTGTACTGGGTCATGTTTCATTTGTAAAATACCAAAAAGGGTAAATAATAATAAAATTATTCCTTTTGTATCAATTAATTTGCACAGGGGTGTATGTACTATTTCACCATCATTATTTCATGTAAAACTTTCTTGTACCGACCTTATACATTAGTTATAGAAGTAGTCAACACACTAAAGCCGCAACAATCTGAACAATATAATATGTGCCTATAACACCGGGTTGGTAGTAGGCACAGAAAAGAAACTGCAAGCACTTCTAAAGAAGATAGAATAGGAAATCGAGAAGAAAGTGCTAACGTCAATTGCAAGGAGATAGAATCTATGGTTGTAACTAAAAAGAACAGTCCAACAAGCAGATTAAAATTTTGAGATACCAAATTAAACAAGTTTATCAATTTAATTACAAATAATAATTTAAAGTGTTTTAACAGGGAGCAGAAGGAGGAGCATTGGGATAGCGAAATATACCTTCGGAAATCTAAGCAAAGTATTAAGAAAGAGGAAAATTTTGTTAGACACAAAGAAAAGTGTGTTAAACTTTTACGCAATATCAGTCCTCTTTCTTACTCATCTTATACACTAATGCAATTCTGAGAGAATTAGTAGTCTTACGAAGATATATTATTGGCGCCCACTTTCTTGACAACATAAGATATGCAGATGACACAATGTTGATAGCAGACACAGACGGAAACAGCAAGAACGCAGACAGAAGATGCTGAAGGAAGATGAGAAGAAAGGAATAAACGTCATTTGATAGAAGGAAGAATGTGTGGTTGTCAGAAAAAAGAACTGAGCAACACCAGAAAAATGAACTGGGGAGACGAAAATCAGACAATGATGAAAATTAAAATACTTTTAACAGGATGGGAAATGCAACACTGACATCCAAAATGCACTGGGATAGTGAAATATGCTTTTCAAAAGTTACACAAAGTATTAAAAAACAGAAACATTTCTTAAGAAGCACGATAAAAATAACGTTTTAAGTGATAAAAATCTGCCGGAACGATAAGTAACAATCCATCCATTAGAATATATATATAAATTCGCTTGAAGATGAAACGTAACTAATGCTTTTAATTTAATTATATAATTAAATTTAAAGTTTTTACCTTACAGTTTTGAAACATGGTTATTACTGTGTAGCGAAAAACATATTTTCAATCAGTTAATTTAATATATATATATATATATATATATATATATATATATATATATATATATATATATAATAATCGACTCTACCGTCGAAATTCGACGTATGAGGGTCAAGCATATCAGTTTCCAGGAAACCGACAGCCCGACACCGGCACATGAGATTTGATTATAGTGGTGAAGGCCTCGTGCAGGAACATCTACAATTTTTGAAGGGACGAATACAGAGACCTAGTCCACCGAATGCCACAAGGTTCCCAAACGACCCTCCGCAGGTTTTGAATTCAGAGTTGTTCTTTTCCTATACCAGTTGCCATCCAGTCTGTCCTGCTATTTTACCCATAGTTGGAGGAAGAGGATTCATACCTTTCCCAAGGGTATTAGCACGTAAGTGAATATAATGGATTCGACTGGAATTCGAACTAGGCTCTGCGATTCCTCAATCCAAGCCGCTATATATATATATATATATATATATATATATATATATAGATAGATAGATAGATAGATAGATAGATAGATAGATAGATAGATAGAAAATAAGCTAAAACATTAAATAAGTTAAGAGCTTAAAATATAAATAAAGTGATGGCTCAATGCCAAAGTCAACAGAGCTGATATTATTAATATATTAATATGAAGATCCTCTACTCAGAGATACATGCACATAAAACTAATTAGCGAAATTAAATCACCAAAAAGTTTTGGCTTATTAACTCATCACAATTATGAGTTAGTTGCCCTCCATTTTAGTTATTTTATTTAGTAATAACTCCATAATTTAACTCTCCGGCACCCGGTAGGTTGCGACCAGCATGAAACAAATGTTTGTGATGCAGCAATATATTTTGGTGATCTATATTTAATATTAAAACTTCTATTTAGGTTATTTTTAAATACAATTTTATATATATATATATATATATATATATATACTTCAGACCTGATTATTAGTGGATACTGTATTTGAAATAGACGTCCTATTTTTATTTTAAACAGTTAATTTCGTCAATTAATATGCCTCCTTATTCGAGAAACCTTGACAAAGACAATGTGTTCTACCAGACTATCAGCTACAAGTATCAACGGCAATAATATTATATATATATATATATATATATATATATATATATATATATATATATATGTGTGTGTGTGTGTGTGTGTGTGTGTGAAAAGTGTATATAAATATAAATAAATATATATATGTATAATTATTTTATATTATATGCGCGGTACTGATTAGAAAGCTCTCAATATCAAAGATAGAGCTAACATATTTGGTTGGATAGATGTGAGTTTTGTGACCCTGGGTTTCACGCTTTAGCGATCGTCAAAAAACCCAGGTCACAAACTCACATCTATCCAATATATATATATATATATATATATATATATATATATATATATATATATATATATATATATATTTATATATATATATATATATGCATACCCATATATATATATATATATATATATATATATATATATATAGAGAGAGAGAGAGAGACAGAGATAGATAGATAGATAGATAGATAGATAGATAGATAGATAGATAGATAGATATTGCTTTTTTTTGCACGCTTACGTGTGTGTACATATGATTTTCATGTATCTCTCTCTCTCTCTCTCTCTCTGTTTATATATGTGTGAGTGTTTTTGTGCATGTGTGTGCGTGCCTGTGTCTGTGTGTGCTAGTGCAAATGTGAAACTGGTTTCTGTGTTTACGTAGATGTGTGTGCACAGGTGCCTGCACTCCCTTTTGTGTCCCGTTCATTGTGGTGTTAATGAATTGTTCAGTGGTGGAGGCAGAATCATTCAGACTGGGCATGTTGCAGTCCTTGTTGAAAGGCAAAATAGGTCTTCTCGGAGAACATTTCCGGTAAGGAAGCCTCAGCTGGAAAGCGGAAATGAACGAAACCGGGCGAAATAAGAGGAAACGTGGCAACTCAAGAGAGAGTGAGAGAGAGAGTAGGATGGCGCGATAGAACGGTGCAGAAGATGTGTACGAATCTGTACGGACTAAATGCGTTGAGACGAAGTAAGAACAAGTGAAAAGCGGGCCGGGTGAGGAATTGAAGAAGGGAAATTGAAAAAAAAATGTTTAAAAAAAAATCATAAAAGATGCCTGATCAGCATTTTTTTTTTTATAAACCAAAGTGATTTGAGACATTTGACAGAAAGAGCCCTAGAATCGAATTGAATAGAATCAAAAACCTAACTAACGAGTTTAGGAACTATGAACTTTAGAAATGTAATATTAAAATATATATATATATATATATATAACTCGATAATCTTAAAATGAAAGACTAAAAAAAAGTAATTTAACTCGAATACTTAATAAGGAAAAGCTTATAACGACGATACCACTTCGATTGTATCTTATGTTCTTCAAACTTTAATTGGCACAAGATCATTTTTCTAAAGTAGCTAAACAAAATCGAAATCCCTAACAGAGGCAACAAAACAATTATACTAACCATATATATATATACATTAATTGGATATATATATATATAAATGAAATACATATTATATATATTTATGTTATTAATATCATATAAATTTATTATAAATATATTAATTAAAGATTAATATATATATATATATATATATATATATATATATATAGTAATCCAGAGACAGATTGCTTCGCTGTATTACAGCTCATCAGTGTAGCTAGACATCTGGTTGCCTCTAGCTAGGATTGAACCCCGATTGAAATGGCGTCAGTCGGGGATTCAACTACTAAGCCGTTGGCGTACGATAGGGACGAAAGTGAATTTAAGCGTATTTATTTTTAGATTAACACACGGTCACTGAGAGAACGTGATTCGATTTACCGAAGAGTCTTGCATAATTAGCCGTAATAGTAACTGTTTACAATCCTCTCTTCCTCCCCAGAGTGCTCAACAGAAATATTTTTTTCAGGGGCATATATATATATATATATATATATATATATATATATATATATATCTCAAAGTAAAGGTAAGGACAAAGACAAAGTAAAATAAGGAAACAATCATGTATACTATTTACATTGATCGTACTCTTGTCCTTATCCTTTTTTCCGGGTATGACGATAAACTGCATCCGAATCTTGGGTATAACGATAAACTGCATCCGCCATCAATGCCTCTGATTAGGAGGTTTTGAGGAGCGTGAAACCACCTCTTAATTGCTGGTGTTCCCAGATCTACCCTAACCCTGGGTTGTAGCACTAGTTAGGGTCCAAATATGGGCAAATATTTGACCCTTAAACTGGGGTAAAAAAAAACTATGAAAGTGTAAATATAAGTTTTAATAACAGCAATAAATCTTTTGAGGAGAAATTATTACCAGCAATACATTAGGAATTAAAAAAAACATTATAAGCAATCCATTTTTGAAAGAATTAATATTACTATCAATACATTTTTATAAATAATTATTTCTAGCCATACATTATTACCAGCAATACATTTTTGAAGAAAAAAATATTAGCAGCAGTAAAATTCTTGTTGAAATTAAATAAGCTATTGAGGTTGATAAGCCGTAAAACAAAACAAACCAAACCAAAACAAAACTTGTCTTTATTGTTATATTAAAGATGTTCGACCGTTGTACGCTCCGGTCTTCTTCAGCTCATATTTTTGGGAATTCCCGACCCAACCTTTTATTTAGTTCATCTTGTTAGTGTGTTCTAATTCTACGTTATGGTTTTGGAGATCTCAGTTTTAGTTAATTCCCCTTGATAACTCAACTCTTCAAATTTTTGTTCTCTCTGCTGTAGCCAGGTATTGAGCTTACAAATCTTTAGGCCAATCAATTTTCAATCAATCAATCCTGTGGACGAAATAACGTTTTCAAGTTAACATTCCAACAAATATCACCTGAAGAAGTAAAATGTGTCCAACGTCCGAAACGTTGTGACTGTGGCAGTAAAGATGAGGAAGACAGTCCGAATTTTGTAAATGGTTACAATACCTCATCTCAGAAATATAGTAAGTCAATTTAGTAAATTTTTTTTGGTTTGGATACTGTTCATTGAATATGGACCTCTGTATAAAATGCCATGCTAACAGATTTTAACTTTAATATTTACTGTGTTGGTAAAAAGTGCATATTTTTCTTGGTTTTAATGGATGATGTTTGAACACAATTTCGTTTTACACTTGACTCATATTTTATATAAGGTAAATGTTGTTAACCATGATCACCATAGTCTATGAATATAGAATCCAGCCCAGTGCGTAATCTGTTCAATGAAACAACGCTAAAGATTAACACTCACGAGTCAGACACTCTACTGAATCCGCCTATATCGCCAATACCACCATTACTGCTCTGTAATTCTTCAGTTTTCGATATCAAAGGCTGGCTGTCAGTGAATATTCGGAAAAAAACATGGCTGCCTTTATACACGTCGCATTGAATATTTTGAGCTTTCTGATTGGTTATCTCTTCTATTGGTTAACTATAAAATGAGTCAGCTCATTTTGGCTGGTTCACTAGTACACCAAATAACCCAAAATTCTAACAAATGTAGCCTTAAAGACAAATCTTTTTTTATTATATTTACTTAAGAATTCCTCACTTTTTCTACAGTTCTTGGCATTCTCAGAACCACATATTCTCTTATACAGTTCATGGTATTCTTAGAAGCACCTATTCGGTAGAACCGCATTTCTTTTCATCCGTGGTGCGATTGACCAGTATTCGCTGCCATATAAGAGGATTGGCATTAGATAAAATTTTGGCATTCTTCTTTGTTTCTTTATTTAGTTTAGATTGTTCTAATTCCACATGCCATACCTTTGGATATCTCAGTTATCTTTTTTAATTCCACTCATAACTCAACTAATTTTTGATGACTCAAGTTTACGTTTTCACTGCTGAGGTCAGGGATTGAACTATCATCTCTTTGAATCGAGTCATTTTTTGACCAAACTACCAACGCTTTTATCTACTGAGGCATGTGAATATCACTTGAGGAACGCCGGAGAGTACAACAGTCTAAACGTCGTGAATGTGGCAATAATGACGAGGACAACAGTCCGAACAATATAAATAGTGTAAAACGTTACAATACCTAGTATTCGCTAGTAGTCACTCGTCTAGTTACTGACCAAGCTCAACATTGCTTAACTTCGATGACTGTGCATGAAAATGCTTCAACGTGATGAAAGATTTAGTATTTATTAAGTTGTGAAACCGTCGGTTGAAATTTATATATTTCATTTCAGGTATATTTTTTTCAGGAAATAAGACTTTCTAAGTCCAATAAATGTTATACCTCTTTCTAGTACTGAAGGCAGTTTCCATTCAACTCTTTTGTTTTACTTATATGAAAAGCTACCATCATCATTGTCTCTTCTATTGGTATGTGCTACTCTTTGTCATCGTTATTACTTGGAAAGTTGGCGATTTGTTAGTCAGTTTGATCAAGGATTGACTTTAAATTTCTGGGGATTTTTAAACTTTGACCCGAGGAAATGTTTCCCGCCAGAATCTATCTTAGGCATTCATAAGAAGACCATTCTTCTGGACATAGAATATTTGTTGAAACTTGACAAATGCATGGAATAATAATACAACATAAAATGTACTTAGAACAAAATGTATTGAAACAAGAAAGGTACACAATAATTACATATAGTCTTTTGTATATTCTTGGGAAGACCGTTCCTGGAGAATGGGTTTACTTGGTCGCAGTCGGGCAGAGTCTCTGGATTGAATCTCTTGATTCCTCCTTCCCCGGTACCAACCATATTTATAAGTAAATTAGGTGGACCAACCATATTTATTTGGTCGGTACTCCACTATACAAATTACATTGGATCAACAACCCTTATTTGCCTTGGAATCCTTTGGATTTCAAATTGGCTTCCTATGGGTTGATGATTATGGCTATTTCTTTCTTTATCGATCCATTTGCATATGCATATGTCCATCTTTTAATAATTTTTCCGTTTTGGATTATATTATAGATTATGTCATATTATATTATAGGTTATAATATAGATGAAGATTATATTATAGAGAAGATAGATTACATTATAGATTATATTATAGATTATATTATAGAGAGATAGATTATATTTGTTGAAACTTGACTAATGCATGGAATAATTGAACTTTAGAACAAAATGTATTGAAACAAGAAAGTGTACACAATATTTATATAGTCTTTTGTATATTCTTGGGAAGACCGTTCCTGGAGAATGTTGACTTCGTCACAGTCGGGCAGAGTCTCTGGATTGAATCTCTTTGATTCCTCTCCTCGTCTTGGTACCAACCATATTTATATGGTCGGTACTCCACTATGCAAATTAGGTGGATCCAACCAATATTGCTATCACATGAAATGATTATACTATGTATTTAAAGATTCTTGATAAAATCCAAAAAAGAATCTGCAATGTTATCAGTCCTGGTCTGGCATCCATTTTTCAGTGATTTTCACCAGTAACGTAACGTAATTTACCTGTGTCATTTATATAAAAGTTTCATAGAAATTGTCCTGATGAGCTTTCCTCTTTGGTATTTAGATTTTACAAACTTAACCACAGTACTAGTTTGGCAGCAAGTACACATCAGATGACAGTTCAAAAT